TCTCGCAAAGATGGCAAGAGCGGGATCGATCGCCGTCTCTTCCGGCTCAGACAATGGAGCACCTACGAGTGGTCGCAAGTCTGTAGGAGCAGGTAGCGCGAATAAAAAGACTGCCTCTTTCGCTGCTCGCAAGTCCAACAGCTCCAGTACGAACAAAAAGTCCAAGAGAGGAGAAGAAGATGAGGTGGAGGATGCGATCGATGAGCCTCATCAAGATGGTGATGAGGTCGCGGAAGTTCGAGGGGAGGATGAGGAGGACGAGAATGACGAGGAGGAGGAGGAGGACGACGACGACGACGAAGAAGAGGAAGAGGCGGAGTACGAAATCGAAAAGATTTTGAGACATCGATCTGCCAAGAATACGGGCAAGATTGATTATTACATCAAGTGGAAAGGGTACAGTCTTGGTGAAAGTACCTGGGAGCCAGAGGTGAGTCTTGGTGGTGGTGGTGGTGGTGATGGTAGGGCAGAGCGGAAAGGTATGGGAGCTGAGGTGTGTGCTAAGCATTGGTAATCTCCACTGCCACGCGACGCAGGCCAACGTGAAGGCCACGGCTGGGGACATGGTCAAGCAGTACTGGGAAGGCGCACCTGGCAACAAGGTGCAACCGCGCAAGTACCTCTCGCCCTCCAAAGCCGCCGCAGCCGCCGCTCTGGCCGGTGCCAAGCGAAAGCGATCGGCCGGTCGAGCATCCGCCGATGCCGATGCCGATGCTGATTCCATCGAGCAAGTTGAGGAGGAGGAAGAAGAGGAGGAGGCAACGTCGGAGAAGAGCAAGAGCAGCAAAGCAGCGCCTAGCAAAGAAGAGAATGAACATGCGAAGTATTTGCAAGATGTTCAGAGGGAAAAGGAAAAGTACGAAGCGATGGATAGTTGGGATGATATTTGCGTATGCGAGACGATGGAGAGGGGAGAGGATGGCGTGCTAGTCGCTCTCATGAAATTGTGAGTGTGTGTGTGTGTGTGTGTATGTGCGCGAGCGAGAGAGGCAGGGAGAGATCGCGAAGGGATGACGATGATGTTGATGATGATGGGGCGAAGGGGCATATCGTAGAGCGCATGCTTACCCACCTATCTGTCTCACTCGACGCCTGTCTGGCTCGCTCTGCGCAGCAACAAGTGCAAGTACGAGCTGGATTTCCCAGCCGAAATCTGCTACAAGCGAGCTCCTCAAAAGGTGAGCCGGGAGAGAGGTGTGCGAGCAGAGTCGAACTGGGCCATGCGCGCAATGCATCCAATTACTCGTCCACTCAGCGCCGCGCTGAAGGAGGGGCACGAGCGAATTGGCAAATCGAATTTGGAGCGCTGACCATTTCGTATCCCCCTGCCCGCTGTACCCATCCACGAATCGATGCACCCACGCTGCCGCCGGCGCACAGATGCTAGCATTCTACGAAGCTCATTTGCGCTTCAAGACGCCTACAGCCGGGGCGGGCAAAAAGTCGAGACAGTAAAAGGAAGCGGAGGGAGAGGGAGGGGCGGGGAGGGGCGCCGCGCAAGACTCTGTCTGGCGAGAATGAAAGGAAGACGAGCGATAGGAAGGATAGGAGGGCATTAGGATATGAGGACATTAGACGAGACGAGAGAGCTGGAGAGGAGCTAGCTTGCTTCGTCGGCTATAGCGACGCCATGGAGAACTTCTAGTGGGATAGGAGATGGGTGATGCGTCATGGCGAATGGGATGGATGCGCGCGGCGTTCTTTGTGTTCCCGCGGCTGGGCTGGAACGTGGACAAGGGTCGGGGCAGGGGCAGGCGGGGGAGAAGTGAGGGAGGGGTGCGTCGATGCTGGCACAGAGGGGATCTTTGTTTGCGATTTTGCGCCAAACGTTGCGCGCGCGCGCGCACTCCCTCTTTGGACAACGGCTTGCCAACGTTCCACAACTTGACCCGCTCCTTACTTCTCACTCGCCTCCTCGCCCAACTCCACCACTGATTACTCGCCGCCGACCAGCGTCACACTCGGTCCCCCAAAACAAAAACAAAAAAAAACGAAGGAGGAAAATTTCCGCACATGCCTTGCGCGAGCCCAACGCATCCCCCGCCCCCACCCCCCGCCTTTCCCTCTCCTCTCCTCCTTTGTGCATCTCTTTCGCCCACTTCTCTATATACATCTTCTCGCTTCATATCAATCCGATCTACAACGCCCCCCGCGCCCCCGCGCCCCGCGCTTTCTCGACTCTACTCGATCAGGCTCTGATGCGGAATGGGCGCGCGGAGGGGGGGGGGCACAAATATCCACGCGCGCAGTGTTCTCTCCCTACATCCTCCCCCCCCCCCCCCAAAAAAAAAAAA